CTCGGAGAATTGCTTACGAGTTGGTTGATGAAATCGACCACATTAATGCAGGTATTTTTTTGTTTTTCTTATTAATAAGTTCAATTGAGCATGTATTGTATGTGAATTACTAGTAGGAACAACTAAATGAGATTTAAGAAAATTTCTAATATAAATTGTGTAATAATATTAGACTAATTAAAATCGACTCGAACAACATGAAAACACATGCATATATAAAAAAATGTAAATGCCAATTTTTAACTATTTTAATTTGAAATTAAAACATAGTTATTTGACCAATATATGAGAAGCAATAATGTATTCGTTGGAAATCGATATTTCTTATGGACATTGAATATTTCATCAAATAAATCGTATGTAAGACGACTTTTTGATGAAAATACCTCAAAAATGTGTGTACATTATGAATACTTGAATATACGATAGTGTTTAATAGATACAATCGTCCTTTAAAATCATGTTTCACTAGAATGGACGAAGTTTTTGTTAAAATTGATTTAACAATAAAAAATATTCTGCCAAATGATATTGTTACGAAAAGGTCCGACCGATTTGTTGTTATTGTTGTTATTGTAGGTGGAAAGGTTCCATTGGGATTGAAAGGAAAGAGTAAGAGAATATTAGTAACAGGAGGAGCAGGATTTGTTGGGAGCCATTTGGTGGATAGATTAATAGCAAGAGGAGATAGTGTTATTGTTGTTGATAATTTTTTTACAGGTAAAAAAGAGAATTTGTTGCACCATTTCAAGAACCCAAGGTTTGAACTTATTCGACACGATGTCGTTGAGCCGATTTTGTTAGAAGTCGATCAGATTTATCATCTAGCTTGTCCCGCTTCTCCTGTTCATTACAAGTTTAATCCAGTCAAGACTATTATATCCTTAATTTCACATTCTTTATACCATTGCACCACTATTCTTTTGACAATATGTGTGAACTACACAAATATGTTTTTTTTTCATATATATATAGTTCAAATCGAAAATAACAACGATACGTATCGTGTTTTTCATATGATCATGTTTGTTTTTTTGAGTTTATTTTCCTTGACTTTAAAATGGAAAGATATCACAAAACAAATGTGATGGGAACAATGAATATGTTGGGATTAGCAAAAAGAGTGGGAGCTAGGTTTCTTATTACTAGCACAAGTGAAGTTTATGGTGATCCATTGCAACATCCTCAGGCTGAGACTTATTGGGGCAATGTTAATCCCATTGGTAAGTCAATTCATTTACTTTTAACTATGGTTGCGAATGTACATCGTCAGTTTAAATAATTTTATGTTATTAATATCATATTTTTATATATATGGTAGCAAACTCATTGTTATTTATATCATAATTCTCAAATGATCTATCTAAGATAAAGGAGGGCCTTAGTAGTGGTGATCTTTTAACTCTTCCACGAATTGCTATAATTATATAAGTTTTGGTTGAACCGCATATGATAAAGGGGATTTATTGAAAATTTTATACTATACAAAGTAGCTTTGATCCAAAACATATATTCATCTTTAGAATTTCGTTGAAAATCTACAAATTATTTATTTAAAATACAATAACTTACGAGAATCATAAGTTACAAATCATTGTTCCGCATCTTGCTATGTATATATGAGTGAGTCAATTGTTAGTTGAATCCCCTAGATATAAGAGAACATTATTTCTTAATATCCTTGATAAAATTTCTCCCTCAATTCATCACTACAAATGCGTGTCATGATTATGTACCTATAAATTTTATATCACTAGTGCTTAGAACTTAAACTCGACTTTTTTTTTCGAAACTTGTGAACAGGTGTCCGCAGTTGTTATGATGAAGGAAAACGTACAGCTGAAACTTTGACCATGGACTACCATAGAGGACTCAACATTGAGGTACATTTTCTTCTTGAAATCTAATTTTAAACCATAGTAAATATATATATATATATATATATATATATATATATATATATATTGATATCTTGAAGAAATATTTGAACATATTGAGTTGACTTATTTCACGTAAGAGTTTTGTTATCGACAAAGGTAAATACGAGATGATTTGCTAACGAAAATTTATTTTTTGATAGGTTAGAATTGCTAGGATTTTCAACACATATGGACCACGTATGTGTATAGATGATGGTCGAGTTGTTAGCAATTTTGTAGCACAGGTTTGTGTTAAATTAATTAAATTAATCATAATTGGTTTAATATTAATGTATTCTTTTCATGTAATTGATTAAATTTTTACAATACCTTAATTTCATTGAATATTTAAAAAATTTGTAGGCTTTAAGAAAGGAGCCAATGACAGTTTATGGAGATGGAAAACAAACCAGGAGCTTTCAATTTGTCTCCGATTTGGTAAAAATTTTATTTTTATTTATTTATCGAAGGTCTATTAAAAACAGTTATTATCGTAAATAAATAAATAAAATTATTTTTTATTTATTTATTAAAGTTGGTTTTTTTGTGTGTGATTGTTGTAACTAATTAATAGGTTGAAGGTTTGATGAGGTTGATGGAAGGAAATCATGTAGGTCCTTTCAACCTTGGGAATCCCGGTGAATTCACCATGCTTGAACTAGCTAAGGTATGTGTGGTTTTTTTTTATTCGATATTCGATTGATAATACGTAATGTAAGTCGATTTATTCAAATTTATATTGAAAAGTCTTACTTAAGATTCAATTTTTTTTCTTCTAAAAGTCACTCTATACAAAAAGTATGTCTCAAAATTCGGATCGAGGATAAAAGAGAAGGGTACTAAGGGGGTTAATGAATTCGTCTAAGCAAATGAAAGAGTGTGGAATTGGCCACTAAAGGATGTGTGCTTAAGTGGTAAATATTCCTCAATCATTAATACGAGATTTAAAGTTTAAATTTTGAAGAAAAAAAATTTATCTTTGATAAGAGCTCTAGGATTTTCATAATGAGTTTTATACGCTGCAAATTCAAATTAGACAAATCAATATAGATCGTAGTGGAGCAATTTAAGATGACATGAAAGGAGGGTCAATCAAATCGTCATACAACATATATAGTTTGTATATACAACTTCTTGAATACACTTTATATAAAGGAAACTTTTATTATAGTGTTACACTTCTTATTCTCGATCCTTTGTTAAAATTTTTGGCTCTGAGCATGAACAAAAAATAGCATATCCCATATAGCACTTAACATTCTTTTTTAACATAACAAATTGCTTCTACTAATTATATTTTCTATCATTTCTTAAAATTTGAGATGTCTAATTAACGTAGAATGAATCACATTCATCTCACTATACTGCTCGATGATATTTGTAGGTGGTGCAAGAAACAATAGATCCAAATGCAAAAATAGAATTTAGACCCAATACGGAAGATGATCCTCACAAGAGAAAGCCCGACATTACAAAAGCAAAACAACTTTTAGGATGGGAGCCCGTTGTTTCTCTCCGGCAGGGACTTCCGATGATGGTTGACGACTTCCGGCAACGGATTTTTGGCGACGACAAGCAAGATTCCGGCAACTTATTAACCATATAATAATTATATATAGAAATTAATTTTTTTTCTCCATCAAAATGGTTAAATGGAGAAAATAAAATGAATAAGAAGAAGATTAGGAGGTTGTTTAATTAGAGTTTTAATTACTTATATTAAACTTCTTCCAAAATAAGATCCTCTATTGAAAGAGGATTAAATAGAATGCAAAGTTGCATTGATTATTATTTTTATTTTTTTGGATATAATGAGAAGTTTGAAAAGAGTGTGATCGAATTTTGATTTCATGTTTTTGATAAGTAAAGAGCGATTAAATTTACGTATAATCAACAAATTATAGATATTAATATAATGATGTAGTAAGAAGATATCATGTTTATCTCATTAAAGTAATTGAATTTTACAAGTTATAACTGTAAACTCATACAATTATTTCATATCATAATCAAATAATTAAACAATATATGAATTGCTTATAGTATCTGAAAGTCAAAATTTTATATTAATACATATAAATGAAAGAAAACATATAAATCTCATAAGAATTGTTTAAATTTTCATTTGGACCGATAAAATTTACTTTTAACATAGTTAACTACGAAAGAGGGTCTGAAATCGAAAGTGCCACAAAAATTGAGCAAAATTTTTGAAAGGACAACATATATTAAGGATTAACCAAATGTCAACCAAATGAACAATATTTGGATGAAATAATGGATGTCGTTAACTCGTAGGTTAAAAGATTCGTGTTAACATGAGTCTACTAAGGCTCATGCTGACATGAGTCTTACAACATTTAAAAAGCGTTTAAAAGATATTAATATTCTTTCTATATTGTTTATTCAATCGTTTAGTTGTTATGTTTTCGTGTTTTTTTTCCTTTCTATTTTCATTATTTATATGTAATAAATATGTAAGTGGTTTCATGAAGTCACTATAGGTGTATTGTTTGATTCATACAAATTTTAAAATTTTTCGATTTGACTTATTGATTATCGATTTGTGACATGCTGCTAACCTATTAAGAAAAAACCTTAAACTGTTAAAAATAAACGTGATAACAGAAAAGATCAATTAAAGTATCATTTTTTACTTATATAATAGTATCTCATAATACTTTCAAATACGAAAACTAATATTATAGTGATTGTTACCTTTAGAAGATATTCAAAGCTAAGACAATAATTTTTTAAAATTAATTATTTTGACAACCTAATTAGTTTGAACTAGAAATATTTAATGAAACGTCTCAAAGAATTAAATACAAACTTACCAAATCAACATTAAAACATAATTGATTTAAGTTAAGTTGAATTAGAGAAAAATTTAGAAATAAAAAAGTAAAGCAAATTAAATTTTATATGATTTTTAATTATAATTACATCAATAATAAAATTTCAAAAATATGTACATAATAATTAGCAAGAGATTAGCAATAAACTAAATAAATTTAATCAATACTTCCTCTTTTCCTTATCAATAACTATTTCGAAACAATACATACATAACATCTAAAAAAACTAAATGTAGAAAATACTAACAATAAATACATAATTTTTTTATATTCTATGGTATTTTGTTTCATCAGATCTGATTGTCTCTTTAGGTATGTATCTCCTTCATCCTTTGTTCGTTTAATCTTTGCCTCTTATTGGAATTTGTATCTTTTTTGTGCTGAATTTGGGGGTTTTTGGTAGTAGCTTTAGGGTTGTGCCGCCTATGGTTGAAATATCTGGTGAAGTGTGATTACTGATTTAGGAATTTAGGGTTTTTGATCCGTATGTGATGGATCTTATCTGAATTTTAAGCTGTTGACATCAAATCCATGGTTATAGTTTATCTGTTTGTGAGTAATTTTGTTTTTGGCTTTTAGATTAGCAAGTAATTGCAGCATTACGTTGTTAAAGGATTGTTATAAGAAAAGCTTTAATGAATTACTATGAATTAATCATGTTTTGTTTTACTTGTAGCATTTTTGGTTGATATTTATCATGAACTCCATGTATTTATCCCATTTTATTTGTGTTCCTTTCATTCTCGTACTATATGATATATCTATTGAGGCAAAGTTTACGAATTTATGAAGTTTGAGGTTTTTCTAATCAAAGACTTACAAATTATCCTTATACCAAATCCAATGGATGATCTATCAATAAAAAACTAAAAAATAAAAAGGAGGAGCTCCTTTGGGGTGGCCTAGTGGTTCGGGCTTGGGACTTCCATGTTGGAGGTCCAAGTTCGAATGTTGTTTGCCTTCAGATCAAGCTTGGGTTACCTCTCTTCTGTGGTTTGCGAGCTATTGCATAGGATCAGTAGATGTTATTGTAACTGCAAATTCTTTCTATTTCTTATGTAGAAATTTTTTTTGTTAAGACTTGGGGAATATGTATTATTGGCAGCTATGTAATGTCACCCAGGGATTTGGACTAGTGGTAATAGCGCAACACGTAATGTGTGGGTTTGGTGTATGTCAGGGGTTCAAACTTTGCCACAGAAAAAACTATGGTATTTAAGTGGAGAAGGATAGAGGGGTAGGCACGTTACTAACGGAGTTCCGAATCATGTGTTACTGAGCCTCAGGAACTATTCGGTCATAAATAAAACGATGGGCCCTTAGTATGTATTGTTTGTGACTTACTGCTGTATCACAAACAGATTCTCAGTTTGAAAAAATTACATATTGTCTGTGCATTAAGCTTATCTATTTGCAGTAGTGTGCTTTATCATAGTATTTGTTATTCTGGCCAAAGCTTAATGTTTTTGACTTCCTGACAGAAAATGTCTGCATATGATAATGTGGTTGGCGGGAAGTTGAAACTAAAGGGGAAGGCATTGGATGTAAAAGCCGCTGGAATAAAGAAAAAGAAAAAGAAGGAAAAGAAGGATTATGATCAAATCTCCCAGGTTACAGAAAACGAGCTTTCGATTGGTGAGTACTGGTATCTTGAAGTGCAAAAAATTTGTGCTTTTATTATTACTTTTCCTATTTGTTAGTTCCTCCTGCCCTCCCTCTGCATTCAAGTTGTAGATGAATCGATGATAGCTAGTCCATAATGGATTAAACAGTTTATTGTTGCGATTCAAATTGATGGTCTTAAATCCCAATTTTCATTCATCTAATGGAAATATACTTAATTATGCATGGTAGTTTTTAGCGATATGATAAGTTGGGCTAGAAGTTATGATTTAACAATTGTTCACAAGATTGAGCCTTCTTCGGACATTGAGTAACTGCAGCTTTTGACACATTCTATCAGTTTGAATTTCATTTAGTGGTTATATGTCGTTCTCATAGTTTTAAAACAGTATTGGATGAGTAACGGGGCGTATTCCACTTTCAGCCTAAGATTTAGAGCAAAAACATTTAAATCTTATGTGCTTTTGAGAGATGATATGTCGTTTTTCTTGTTTACCCGCTTCACTAAAATGTTTCTGACTGGATGTAGATGGGGGTAGTGGATCCATAGATAATTCCACCAAGGAAGAGACCACAGATGCAACTAAATCTGTTGGTGAAGAAAATGCCGGTCGCTGGGATGATAATCTAACCCCTGCAGAGAGGCGCTACATAGAACAGAGAGAGAGGATCGACATGCATAAGATGGCCAAGACTGCTAATAAATCACATCGTGACCGAATTGAAGATTTCAATCAGTACTTGGCAAACATGAGTGAGCACTATGACATTCCCAAAGTTGGCCCTGGCTAATTAAGAACAAATCAGAAATTTGCTGCTGGATCTCCATGTCTCCTTTACAGTTGTTTCGCGTTAGCATCTGTACTAGCTACTATTTTGCATGTACTCTGTAATTTAGATGTTCCCTTGGTTCGATGGTCTTTGCATGATCATCTTCCTTCTGAGGCTGAACCTCGCAATGATGTTCTAATGGATGTAAATTTTCAGATTGTATGTGCTTAAATTGAAAGGTTTATACCAATTTCGATCAAGTGAGACATTTCAAAAGGTGGAGATTTTCCTCAAATGCCCATCTTTGTTTACTTTACATTTTCTAGACACAACTCGTGAGATTACATTGACTATGTTTGTTGTTTTTGTTTGCATATCTTTGTGTCTACTAGTTATCTTTTCTGTGTTTATATCTTATTTATGAATATTATGAAAAAATTCATGAAGTGTGGTAGATTTTTTATTTTTTGTGAGAGTTATGTTCTTCTCGTTTGACAGTGTAATTTTTTTTTTATATACTACTATCAAGTTAAGGTTGATTACCTAAAAATAAAGTGACAACTTATAACCAGTTAAATTGTTGTAATAGTGAAAAGATAATGTATCCTATTAGCATATACAACTTTGAGTCATGGAATGAGTTACTAATGTTTACCTCAAGTAGACGGTCTACCTCTTAGGTGCAATCTTTTCGATTCTATAGATCTTATGAATATGAAATGTTTTGTGCACTAATTATCGCCGTGTTACTTAGCAATCAAATAAATCAAGGCATATTACATGGGTGGTGGGATCTCATTGTCCCACATTCAATTAGAGTAGAAATTTCCCATATTTGTAATAGATGAGTCATTCTTGAATGTGACATGCCCTTTCTAGGAAAGAAAATAGAGTTTTTTTTTTCTTAAGAGAATAGGAAAGGGGTTTAGTGATGGAAACAATTTCTTATATATAGTCAAGGATTGGAAAGTTCTTTTATATGCATATTATTCAAACAAACGCGTAAGTGGTTCATTTTCTTTTTCTTTTCGTTCGATGTGTGATATTTGTATTGACTATTTCAGATTAGCAATCGAATAAGACCCATTAAAGGAGAAACCATTTCCTATTAAGATTGTTTTCGTATCTAAAACTCAAACTCGAGACCTCTACTTAGGAGGGAGAAATCATATCAATTCCAATATAACGGCCAATTCATCTTGTCTAATGCCTTAAAAAATAAGTATAATTTCATAATCTTGTGCTTTTTATAGTTTATAATGTGTGGCACTTTTCAAAACGTATAATTTTACTACTATTTTATCTTTAAATTTCAACTATACAACGTCATGTGATATTGAAGTTTCAACAACCTAGAGGTTGCAACTCCATTTTTTAAAAGTTAAAAACTTTTATAATACTTGGGACAAAATTTGTATAGTTACATAATTTTAGAAAATTTGTACTACTATATTGTATAGATGTCAAATCAAAATGTCATATCACCAACTTCTTAGAAATTATTAGAGGAGAAAAGAGAAAAATGACCCCACCCCCACCCCGCAAATGCACACACACAAACATCTCTCTCAAAATGCACTAGTTGATATTACAAGACCAAATTAAAAGGTCCCATATAGTGTACTCATATTCCTCTTACAAAAAGGCAATGAGAAGAAGGCAAGAAAGCTCATCCCCAATTTCCTAGAAATCACAAAATGAGAAATAAATTGTAAAAGTTTTACACTATTATAACACTAGGAAATTAAACAAAGTTATATGGAGGTTTAGTCGAACTCAGTACTTTTGATGTAAAAATATTTATTTATATTTGAAAATTCAATAAATATATATGAATTTAAAATCTAATAACTTTAAATAACTAGAATCTCGAATTCGTAAGTTCATAATCATGGCTACCTTCTTATTAGAGAAAAAGAGAGTTTTTTTCGTTTGCTGATTATAGTTGAAGTTGACAACTTTGGTCACTCTTCGAAATTTCATAACATATGAAAATCGTAAAGTGCATACATTATAGTAGCGACTTTTTTAATGATAAACTAGTAATTACGAATGAACAAATAAAGAGTAAAAAAGAGAAAACCGGGGGGGGGGGGGGGGGGGCTAATTTTACTATACACAACCAAAAAACACAAAATCTCCAAAACAAATCTAAATACCAAAAAAATAAAAATTAGTGTAAGATCTTGTAGATCTATTAACATGTCATTATAAAATTCTAGCTACCATCACAATTTGTTTAGAACTGAAACATACCAACAATTATTTATAATCAAATATAAATATTACCTATTCAATGAATTCAATAAATATATATGCAGAAAATAATTAAAATTTGAACTTATAATTTCAAAAATATACAACGTGTTCCGTACTGAAAATATTAAATATTAAACCTATGAACAAATAAAGTACGTAACTTATTAGTTCAAATTGCTCGAAACTCATATATGTATTAAAAAGTGAAATAAAATAATAGATCTCAAATCTAATAAATCAAAATCCTCGTGTTAAAACCTTTGAATCTTCGAGTTTGAATTCTGAATTCTGAATTCGTCTCTGAATCATTTTGTTTCTTTCGTTTCTTCAATCTTCATCATCACCACCAAAGAGCGAAAATGGATTATACAGAAGAAACAGAACAAGGAGAAGAACGAGAGCAACACCAACAGGGGAACCACTAGCACGATGAATTGAATTTGGCTCACCACTCGAAAAGATACTCGAGACGAAAGAGCCGCTATCAGATGAGAGAAATTGAATTGTGAGAAGTAAAATTATAGGCAAAAGGAGTAATCCAATTGGGGTAAGAAGTTCAGAGATGAATTCAGTGATTGCTTCACCATTTTCACCGATTAATGACGGAACGATCATCACTGCTATAACCACCACCGCTAATAAGGCCGCGTGTGGCGGACCACGACGTTGATCGTCGATCATGTTCATGTTGATGGAAATGTGAGTGAATTTAAAGAGGAGTTGGTTTGCTGCTCTGTTTTTTTTTTTTGGTTTGGTAAAAGAGGGAAATGAGTAGATGTGTGGAACTTTTTGGTTTTATTGCATTGAGTTACGCGTTTTAGTGTGTGTGTGGGTGGGGTAGGGGGGTTGTGCTTGGGAGGGGGTAAGGCTCAAGTTAAAAGATTTTGTTCGTGAGCGTATTGGTTCTAATTTATGTACTATCAGTTTATCTGACTGTGAGACTAAACTTTCAAAATAAGACTTCGCTCGTGAACATAATGATATAAAAATTTATAGCTGCGAGATCAATTGATCGAATAGAGACGAGGTGGGAATGGAAGATCAAGCTAAAATTCTGTTCGTAAATGTGACAAAGGTAAAAAAAAGAAAAGCTCAAGATTTTACTCACGAGTGTATTGAAGCAAAAACAAAGAAATAACAACCAATACATTTCAACACTTTCAACTAATGTGTAAAAAATAAACACAAATGATATCAGACACACTTAATCACTTTATCTGAAGTCATTGATAGATACAATTTGCGGAAATTTCCTCTTACATTTCAAAATGCTTGTATATTTGTCCCACTCTATGTGATAAAGTCAAATGAAACTATTTAAACATTGATAGGTTATTATTTTGGACTTTCAAAAAATAGAATACAAACCTAACATAGAGTCTCCACTTTGGGAAATATTGTCTTACTTACACTAAAGTGAAGAGTTTTATTTCCTTGTTACTTAAAAGGATGGTTATAGGTTTATCGAAAACTTCTTTTACTTCATAACAGTGGGAATAAAATCCGTATATATATTCTATTATTTTTAAATTTTATTTATCAAATTATATTAAATATGTTGTTATACTTAAAGATCCTATTTTTTTTTTTACATTCGAAGATTGATTTCTGAAATGACTATGTAACTAAAGATTATTATTTGAAGTGTGACTTTCTTCTTAATTTCAATTTTTTTTCAACAGAATAAATGACTTACTAGAATTATAACTATTAATTTAGTAACTGAGAAATTAACTCCTCTCAGAAGAATCATATGACATCAACAGTGTCATTAACGAGGGGTTTAGGAAAATCACATTCCTATTAGAATATACCACCATCTCTAAATAATAACAAGCTTTGGTGTCAAACACAAGACTCGAAAGATATTAAAAAAAATTTATATAAAAATAATGGTGTTCGCGTCAATTTGTACATATTTCAAATTATTTTATGAAGTATTAACAAATATATAAAATTGTCGAAAGTATTTTATAAGGGACATTTTATCTGAAACAACAAAAGAAAGAGTATATATCACAAATCGAATTAATCAAGATAAAAAATGAATATCATAAAAAAAATAATTTAAAAGAAAGCTTAGTTTTGTTAACATACATAGCAAACGGCAAATAACAACAAATAACAACATATTCAATGTAACCTCACAAGTGAAGTTAGAAAATGGTGTATATACACTTTTACCTTTATCTTATTAAGATAGAGTACATTAATTCCCACTGTGGGGAATCCAAAAAAAAACGTATACCAAGAACAATACCCGGTGAAAGTTCACTTAATAGGGTCTAAAGAAAGTAGAGTGTACACAGATCTTATCACTATCTCATGAATATAAAAAGTAAAAAACTCATATCATGTGAATTTTTCGTATGCAAACTTATTATGCGTTTATTTGAATGGAAAAGAAGAAAAACATGGCGATGGGAACTGTAGCATAGTCAAAAACAAGTGGACAGTCACTAATAATTGTTTAGGAGACAATTAGTATGAAAAATTCAATATTTCTGACAGGTTTCAAGATTCTAATTTCGAAAGTTAATTTCATCAGATCTATAGACGACACACCATGTGACAACTAAATTAGAAAATTAGATTTCAGATCCCAATCGAATCAACCTAACAAAATTACTTTAGAATAATAAACCAAAGGAATACAATAATTAACCCCACATTTCTCTTATTTCTTCTAGGCCATGATTCATCCGACCTTTATTTAGCGTGACGATAGTATAAATTAAACTTAAATAAAACAACAAGAATTCATATAATGAGTTTCAACTTGATTGGCATATAAGGTAATTGCTTTGACGTTAGTACATCTACATTTATAAAGAGGTCTAGTGTTGACACCTTTTTTCATATTTACTATATGATACGATGTCTCTCAGGTATGTTATAACTTTTGTATCACTATACGACAAGAATTTAGTAGAGTGTATACAGGCCCTACGACTACACCCCTACCCAAGGAGGTAGAGAGACTATCATAAGACCCTCAACTCAAGTGCAACAAAAATTTGACCATTTGTTTAACTA